GTGAGCCAAAGCCTCGCCTGTCCATGGTCGCACTCGCGCCCTCGACGCTCAGTGGAACTTCAGGTGAAAGGAAAGGAGGATTTACCTGTTCGGGCGCGCCGAGGAAAGTTGACCGTAAGGAAATCCGAACCGGAGGGGTTTTAGATTTCAACTGAAGCATTTTTTACTTTTTCATCATTTGCTTAGTTTCGATAATTCTACTATCTATGTATACTAGACCTGTGTGTAACGGGAGCATAGACTTCGGCTCTCGCTTTCCCAAATGCGACCAAGGAGACGGCCAGTGTTGGCAAGGCCTCAGGCAGCGTGAGAACCGCAGCCCCCAGTAATGGGTGCCACAAAGCTGAGATATTTGCTGCGGCCTTGTATAGCTCGGCATGCTGGCGACGGCCTCCAGTCACCAGCTCGGACATAGCCGACGACACTGCACGCTCGCCCACGCATATTAAAAGCTTAAGCTGGTGCCTGTTGTGACGGAAGCCACGCTCCGTAGCAGCTGTCACTGTCATGTTAGATTCAACCTTGGCATCATCATCATCATCGTCATCACCGCAGACGTGTCACTCCTTTGGCATTTACTACCTTCACTCTCACCATTACAATGTGTGACTTTTGTTACAGCAATACGACCCAACCGTTTTCGCATAAGCTCCGTCTATGATTTTGTTGCAACCTCATTGCCTCACTGTGTGTCACTGCTTATTATATGTCTGGATATTTCTTACTTCGTTATCTAATTTTCTTCCATATCCATTTCCCGTTTCCTGTGTGTCTTTCTAAACGGAATTATAATGCCTCGTATATTCTGACATACGGAGTCGGTTACTAGCTTGGTACTATCTTGCAGTGTTTGGTAGCTTATGCCAGGTCCTCCCCTTGATATTGTAACCGATACATCATAATACTAGTTATACACAATGCAAATTCCATACAGTCAAGACTAGTGTTCATACAAATCTGTAAAGAATGATGATTCCAACTCGTCTCAAAATTCCGGGTCTCTAATGTCCATTAGCCGCTCACACGAAAGCGCCATCCAGTCTGCACTGTAGTTATTGTGTCAGCTTTTATTTCTTGTTGCAGTCTGATAGCAACCACCGGGTCTTCGGGCAGAACTAGCTGGAGGCAACAGTTCGTTGCGTGGAATAATTACTTGTTTGATTCCAAAATAGCTTCCTAGATTTGATATAGTACCAACTTACAGATTCTCATCACAACTAGCAAACTTTAAAAGTAGAATAGTGACAGCTATCCTCTCCTATACTAATTGTAACTTTTTCTTAACTTGCCACCCGTTACAGAAAAAAATCATCCTCATCCCAAACTGTTTCTCGGCAGTACCACCAGTTCGCTTCCTCGAGACCACCGCCAAAGCCTCGCGCCAACAAGCGGTTTGACCAATTTGCAGTTCTTTATAGGAGCTCGGTCGCAGCTTCGAGTTTCTGAAACCAAGTTAAGAGTCCCAAATACAACGGTAGCAGCTGCCAGATTCTAGCTCGTAGTTAATGGCAGCTGCGAGTTCCCAGCATTAGATCAATGTCAGTGGCAGGAAAGTGGGCTATCTTCTTTATTCCAAATGTCAGAGAGCCAAAGAGAAAGGAACCTATCACTTTCCTCCCTGGGCCAGTGAAGGCACTGCCTGAAGATAAGCGGCTCTTTAACGCCAGAATTTTTTTGCTCGGTGGCTCAAACCTCGGCGTACCTTTAACCCTGGCCAATTGAGTAATGGCAGCCGTTATGCTCTGCATGATCTAGAGGAGAAAAAGAAACCTCGACACATTCAAAGAAGTTGCGTTAACCGTCTGTGATAACTAGATGCGGAACTTTGCCTTTTGTAAAGCAATAGAACATTTTTTGTTCGGCTTTATCATTTTCAAATGTAATTCTGCCTCCTCTTCCTCTTTTTCTTTTCATTTTTTTCTTCTCTTGTCCCTCTTCTTCTTTTTTCTTCTCCCTCTTCTTTTTTTCTCCTGTCCCTCTTCTTCTTTTTTCTTTTCCCTCTTCTTTTTTTCTCCTCCCCTTTCTTCACATCATTATCCATGTTGACAAATGTAGAAAAGGTAAGAAAGAGAATGGATATCTTCACAACACAAGAAGGCATGTATTTCTGATGATGTAATCGAAACCGGTCAAATACATCTCTTGTATTGTGAAGATATTCATTCTCATTCATACCTTTTCTACATTCACCTCATTCATTTTCCTCTACCCCCTCCTCCCCCTTTTACCCCCCCCCCCCATAGCAGCTGCGCCCATTAGAATAGTTTCCCTAATCCCGACAAGCACCCAACTGCCGGAATGGTGATGATGCTAATGGGATGAGGGCAGAAAGGGGCGCCGCCGCTCCTGCGCTGCGGGAACGAGGCTGCAGGTTGTTGCTGGCACGAGTCACGGCAGTCTGCCTGAACAATTCGGAAATAACTTGAATGTCACAGTATACACAATGTCGGAAAACAGTGTATGTTTATATTTTTTGGACCAGGGCTCTGGCGGGATTTGCTTGCGGCGATCGACTATTTGAGGTTACCGGCAGCAAGCAACAGTGCTTTCGAGGAGTTATTCCTATGAGAGAAATTCAGGCAGAGGGAACAGGACTGATCAGCGAGGGTTATCGGCATATGCATGCACGCGAGCAAGCAAAACAGACATGCATACGAGCACACACACATGGACACACGTACACGCACGGACTCACACACACACATACACACGGACGCACACACACACACACACATGGACGCACAAAAACGCATACAGACACGGTCACAAACACAACAGGGAGGCACATACAACACAACACACACGGACACACACACGGAGGCACATACACGCACTGACACACACACACACGGACACACTCACACACAGACGCACATACACACACACGGATGCACACAAACACAGATAAACGGACGCACGTATATGTATGTGCATGTGTACGTTTAGAAAATAAGCCGTTGTTGTCCTGCTTCATCAAAGTCTGTACTCGCGCGTGTCTGGCTCCGTTGTTATTTCGGTCGGAACGCACCTTGGCCTCCGCCGTGCATGGGGACCTTGGGAAGTCCGTGCCTCGGCCGCGAGCGACCTGAGCCGTGGCGAAAATTGGTGCTGGCCTCCGGCGCCGCCCGCCCGCCGAGGCCTGCGCCGAGAGACCTGCTCCTGCGTTTGCTTCAACCCTGAGGGAAATCCGTGCGGCCTCGCTGAACTTTTTCGGACGGTGGGTGAGGGTTGGGGGAGGGAGAATGGGGGGGGGGGTTGGCTTAAATGCAAGGTCCTCGCCCATGTTTTTTTTTTTTTTTTTTTTCGTTTCAGTCTTATTGGTGTGTATCTGAAGGCGTTTATATTTTACTCAAATTATAGCACTGATAATCTTGAATATCGTCTACAAAAAGTACCATAACAACGGGAGTCCGAATAAAAAGAATCAACAGACTGAATAATCTAATAGGAAGAAAAGGTAGCACTCCGAATCCTGGTCCGAGGGAGCGTAGCATGAGACAGCGCACACTGGCGGTCAACGAGTGACTAACCCACAAAAAACGGAGGGAAACTCTTGTGATTCCCTCAGCATTCCATCCGCTTGTTGTTGCCAAGATCTGGTGTCATGGCTCCGATCTTCCATTGGTTTGTCTTCGCTTTCGCCGTAAATTCAGGTTTCCTTTCGTCCTGAGCGCGGAACAGGCGCGCGCCGGACACTTGGACTGATGTAAACGTCGCTGCGAATAGGTAGCAACTTGTGCGAGGAAGGTGTTGGTGCTGCTCAAGGATCGTCCGGATGCTGGTCATTAGCGAGCGAGACGGAAGGCGGGAGGAGAGGCGGGGCGGGGCGGGGCAGGGGCCTCTTGCTATACATTTATCCCCGCGTCACGATAACCCTGCTGCCGAGCACGGCAACTATGTGGCACCGGGCCTCTGCTGACCAGCATACTATGGAGCCCTGCCAGAGCAGGAGGCTGCAACGACAGGTGGCGATGCTGCTGCTGTGCTACGGGTACGTGCTGGGGTCGTCGTTCATGTTGGTCGCCGTTGCTTTCCTCTTCCGGGGAGTGGCTTTGCCCTACATGTTGAACGCGGCCCGCGCCCGCCATCCGCTCGCCCGCGAGGGAAGGGGCCGGGCGCCTCGGGGCTGGGGCTCGAGGCTCACTTCGGGGAGGACGGGGGCGCAGGCTGGGAATGACACTGGAACACACGAACCGAACCATTAGAAAGTAAATAAAATGGATTCTAATGCTTTTTGTAGACAAGCTTAGGATTAACGAATGACACCAAGCAAGCCCCCGCCCCCTAAAACACAAGCAAACTAATCATCAGAACGCGAGAAAGAAGAGGAAGAAGTTTAAAAAGTCAGGACCACTCGCTACAACAACAGCCTAAACTCACCTCAATGATGACCATGCGCCCTGGCATCAGCGATAAGGAGGGCCAGGGAGGCTTATCATGCGAATGCTAAAGCGCATGACTCGAGGGACGCCTTACAAACTCGCTCTCCGATCCTTCCTGCATGAGGGGGCCGGGCGGTCGACCGCACACATTGGCAATTTGTATCGCATTAACCATCGCTCTGCCGCCCGCAAATCAATACAGGGTGAAATATTCAACGGTTTTGTAAAGGCATACATCTTCATGATATAGTGCGAGGTGCGGGGCTGTAAGGGGCGCTCCTCGTGGAATTCCTGGCGCTCCATTAGAGGGAAAGGAGGAATGTGTAAGCACTGGACAAGCGCATGGAAGTGAACGCTAACACACACACACACACACACACTCACACTCACTCACTCACTCACTCACTTACTTACTTACTCACTCACTCACTCACTCACTCACTCACTCACTCACTCACACACCACACACCGCACACGCACACGCACACGCACACGCACACACACACACACACACACATACACATACACTCACACACACACACACACACACACACACACACACACACACACACACACACACACACACACACACACAATAATGAGAATAATTACAATAGT